GCCAGTTCCGGGTTGGCTTTTAAGCAGCCTTATCAAATTTCAGTCCCAGGAGGTTTTTAAAAGAAAGGGAATGATTTCCCCAACACAAGCTTGTCTCATTCCAGGCGATCCCATGAATGTTGGACTCTGCTGATGTGACTAATGCTCGGACTGGGTTGTAGAGCCCTGTGCTGTTTGTGCTCCTGCTTTTCCTTCCAGGTTACCCTGGTAACGACTGCTCCTTACACCTACGTTGCAGGGGCCAGAGGCGAGGGTTTTGGAGAGGGGCAGAGTGGAAGTGAATTTCCATTGGAAAGCGCTGTACAAAGCAGATCAGTTAGGTACTGATCTGGGGCCTTCCTTTTAACCACTAAGTTCCCGGGAAGGCTGCCAGACAACACACGAAGCCCCGTGACTATAGCACACGCAAAGCAGGTGGGTGGGTGGGGGGTTCGGCTAGGGAAGACCTCCTAAAGCGAGTGGCATGGATCTGGCCTTAGAAGTAGAGTTTCAAGAGACCAGCAGTTAGCATAATGGCTATGTCGCTGGACTCCCATGTAGTTGACCACGGTTCGAGTCCCAGACCCGGTAACTTAAACTCATGCCCAGGATCCCGAGAAGAGAATGGAGGAGAAGGGATTGCGACATGGCCATTCCCCCTGAGGGGTTATTTCTCACTTTCTGTGTCTCTGTCTCTCTGGCAAGTGCATACACCCTATAGCAAAATCATCTCCGAAAAAAAAGAAGTAGAGCTTCGACAGGCAGAGGTGTGTTGGAATCAAAATCCTCACTGTGGAAATGTTCTGGTTTTTTTTTTCTTTGAGAGATTTTCGCTATAGGGCGCATGTGCTCGCCAGACCGACAGAGAGAGACATAGAGACAGGAAGTGAGAAATCACCCTCCGGGGGGATGGTCACGCCGCAATCCCTTCTCCTCCATTCTCCTCTCGGGATCTTGGGCACACACGCACACATGCCTGGCGTGAGTTTTAAGCCACTGGGTCCAGGACGCGAACCGCGGTCGACTACATGGGAGTCCAGCGACACAGCCATTACGCTAACTGCTGGTTCCCACTGTGGAAATGTTCTGTGTAAACACCGGCTATGATTTATGCTGGCAGACACTGGGTCCTCCCTCCTACCACTGCCCCGATGAGGACTAGGCCAACATTCACTGCAGCTCCCTGGCCTTCACCTCACCAATGGGCAGTGGCATGAGCCACCTTCCTTGCCATAAAGGAAAGGCACCATTCCCCCGAAAAGCCAGGATCTGCTGAAGATGAACCGAGTGGAGTGAGAGACTAGATTGAAGATCCAAGATGGCAGCTTTGCTCACTAAGCAGGACATCTGGTCATCTCATTCCTGTGTCCCGGGGGTGGATGTGCTTAAAATCAATTTAGCTTGCTGCATCTGTGCTTTCCCAGGGCCCACTCGCCAAGTGAGGAGACCTCGTCAACACGGCTGCCAGGGCTCGCCATGGAGACCACGGGACCGGCTGCATCCAGACAAAGCTTCTTCACCAGCCAGGGGCCCGCCAGGTAACTGACCAGTCTCAGCCCTCGCCTTGGCAAGGGGAGACCGAGGCAGAAAGAAGTTAGCTATGTCTCCGGAAGAAGTGAGGGGTGGGTGGGATTGAAGATTTAGAAAAGAAAGGGGGCAGGGGCAGAGCAGCCTGAAATCTGCCGGCAGTAATTGCCTCATGGGTCAGGTGCTCTAAGTTCAGAAAAGGCAAAGAAAAAATCGCCTTATCTGAAACTGCTTTAATAAAAAGTGATGTTGAGCTACTTACTCAGTTCTGGAAGAATTCAGAAAAAAGCCCACTAGAGCAGATGATAAGATCTACCAGTGTGGGAGACCACTGAGCCGGCACAGCAACCCACGGGGGCAATGTGGCAGTGTCCGGAGTAAGGCTGGCAGGTTCTCACAGCTGCGTATCTAGCCACATAGCGTGCATCCTTGCAAAAATGTTCAGGAGATCAGCAAGACTCCCAGCTGTCCCCCTCTGAGGATGAGTGCTGTGGCCTGGCTTTGGGAGCTGCAGCACCGTGGGGAAGACATTTCACCATTTCACATCTAGTCTAGAGACGCACCTAACGATGCCTACCCCACAGGCAGCTGCAAAAGTCGCATCACGTAGGTACTCAGTAGCACAGGCACGATATTTCCTTCCACCAATGTTTCCAAACCATGGTTTTACAGTCGCGTGTTCTACAATCGTTACTTCAGATCTTACTGAACAATTCATGTATTCATTCTCCCTATTTTCATTAGGGAAAATGCTACTCCACCATTAATTATTTGCCGAGTCCATTGTAGTGATTTCTGGTGTGTTTTTTTTTTACTAATAAAATACTCCTGGGCTTCCAGAAAGTGGATACCTTTTGGTCAGCTCAGATAAAAAGGCGGGGTAGGGCTGATACACGCGAACAATGGCAGCTATCCTGCAGAGGTGGTGCCAGCGGGCTCCCGGGAGGGGAGTTGAGGCAGCTGCCTTTTCTCTCTTTCCTTTTTTTTCAGGAGTTTCATGGTCTTTGTGTGTTTTTTTTTTGTGTTTTTTTTTTTTTTTTTCCTGCATGTCCACTCTGTTTCTGCCTTTCTCTGCTCACAGAGCAGCTGGCACAGTGCTAAAAATGACCTTTGCCTTGTGATCTTGAATTGAAACACCCACCCCCATCTCGAAGTAGCTTAATGCAGAGGCTACAGGCCAGGTGTCCATCCCAGTCCTGCTGGTTGAGGCAGGAGGGAGGAGTAGGGTTCTATGCTTTCATCAGAGAGAGGGTGTGTGTGGGGAGGGTGTCCAGAGCAGAGAGGCCGGGCTGACACCTCCAAATATGTCTATAGCAGCAGCTATAGGCATCTACAAGGGCATTTCAAAAGTCTGTAGAGTCATGGGAACCAGCAGTTAGCGTAATGGCTATGTCGCTGGACTCCCACATAGTCGACCGCAGTTCGCGTCCTGGACCCAGTGGCTTAAAACTCACGCTGGGCACGTGTGCGTGTGTGTCCAAGATCCCGAGAGGAGAATGGAGGAGAAGGGATTGCGGCGTGATCATCCTCTCTGGGGGGTGATTTCTCGTTTTCTGTCTCTCTGTATCTCTCTCTCTGTCTGGCGAGCACACGCGCCCTATAGCGAAAACCTCTCCAAAAAAAAAGTCTGTAGAGTCAGGACCAGCAGATGGCATAGCGATTATGTCACTGGACTCCCGCGTAGTCAACTGTAGTTTAAGGCCTGGGCCCGGTGGTGTAAAATTCACACCAGGCGCGTGTGTGTACATGCCCCAGATCCTGAGAGGAGCATAGAGGAGAATGGATTATGGTGTGGCCATCCTATCTAGGGGGGTTATTTCTCACTTTCTATCTCTCTGGGGAGCACACATGCACTATAGCAAAGCTCTCTCAAAAAAAAAAAAATAGAAGAAAGAAAAGAAAAATTGGCCAGAATGACTTAAATTAGAGCTTCATCTTGGAGCAAAAATTTGAAATCCATGATTTTTTCATAACATGCATTTCCCACATACGTTTTGAAGACCTTTGTATCTACATGGGATATTTTGCCTCTTTTTGTTCCCTTAGGTTAAGGTCGCACGTGTATGATTGGGGCCGAGATATGTGACAATCCATGGCTTAGTTCCAGCCGTTCAGTCCTGACTCCGACTGGATCACCCCATTAGAAGAGGGCACTGTAGGTGCATGAAGGGTCAGAAGCCAAGAAACGGAGTTGAGTTGCTCTCCCCACTCCCTGCTGCCAGAGGCAGGAGAGGCAAGAGGCAGGACTGAGAGAAGGCTCCTCTCAGGAAGGCTCGAGCTAAGATGAGATTAGGGGACTTGAACAACAGTCTTGGGTTCTTGAACCCATGGCAAGTTCCTAGCCAGGTCTGGCTCCAGGAAAGGGGTCAGGGCAAGTGGCAAAGGCTACATAGATTGAGCAGAAAACTGAAGTTTGTAGAAGAAAAAGTTAACATGATAAGGGTTGGGGAAAGCATCTAGTTTGTGTCTGGATGCTGGTTCCTTGAAACCTTGCTCTGAATCTTTACCGTCATCCTGTGCTCAGTGGTCACAGCAAAGACTTCTCCGTCAGCAGACTTTTCTACTCAGCACTCCTTTTGCTCAATCACCCATTTAAAGGTTCATCTTTGGTAGAGCCTCAGTGTTGAAAGGACAATACCAGGGCCGGCAGGTGGCGTGATGGTTAAGGGTGCTGGACTCCTACATGGCCAACCACAGTTTGAGTCCCAGACCTGGCGGCTTGCTTTCTCACTTTCTCGGTCTCTCACTCCATCCCTATCTGGTCAAATTAAAACAAATAAATAATAAATAAATAAATAAATAAATAAATAAAGTTCAATTTAAAAAAAAAGGGGAGGACAAACCATGATAATGACTGTCCCTAATGGAGGAAGCTCTACCTGAAGAGACAGAAGAAGGAGTTAAGGGTGCAAACCTGAGCCACAGGTTCCCAGCACGTGTGCCCTGCTGGGCAGCTCTGCTTCTGCATGAGAAGAAAGAGGGATAGGCTTTCTCCTTCCTCTCCTACTTGCTGCTTGTCTGTTGCACTTCCAGGTTGTCACGCCTCATCATCTCGCTGCGTGCCTGGGCCGCCAGGCACTTACACCAGGAGGGTCAGAGACCTGACTCTTTTCTGGAGCGTTTCCATGAAGCCGAGCTTAAGGAGGTGTCCAGCCAAGAAAGCAATGTCCAGCCAAATGTGGGCAGCCAGGAGCCACCAGACAGAGGGAGAAGGTAAGGAATGAAAGAGGAAGGGGTGGCGCAAGGAGCATCTGCCTTACTTGGTCCTGCTGGGATGCCCAGTGGTGGCCCCAGAACACCAATCCTGTGAGCTGTTTAAGAAGTCCATTGTTCTTGGGGAAACCCTGCACAATCTACCAGCTTCAACCCTGAGTTCAAGAAGCCTTGCAGAAGGGCCCTGTAACTGAAGTATCCAGACTCGTTTGACCGCCAACTTCATCCTACATGGGTTCCCACTGGTGTCCCCTGGAGATTGTGAGTTCTCAGAAACTCATCCGGATGCTGGAACCTCATCTTAGACTGTACTGGTGCCCACGTTGCTCCAAAACAGGGCATTTTATACCATGAGCAACAGGGAGCTACCTAAATGGTACCCCCAAGTTTATGAATAGGTGTGCATGCATTTTTCTGGGAAGAAGGCCCATGGGTTGGTCTAACCCATCAAAGGAACCACCTGTGTTCCCAATCAGATTAAGAGCCATGGGGGCTCCTACTGGAGGTGAGAGCTAGGGTAGAGTTGTGGGGACGGGGAGAGCGTTTGCTCCAGGGAGAAGGATCTGCATTGCAGGGCCTCTGTACACCTTGCACAGCCTCCAACTGGGCCATGAGCCAGAGCACTGCTCCTCCTCCTCTCTTGTCCTCAAGAAGTCTCCCCAGCAGCTGGTCTCTGGAGAGACCATAGGCCACTGTGGGTTGAATCCATTGTGGCTGAATAGCAGAGGGTATCTGTAGGACACTTAGCTCCATCTGAAAGGCAAGAGAGGTCAGACGTGGAGAGAAAGCTGACCTCCCCCAGCCTTGTGACCAGGTGGCTTCTCATCCAGAACCTGTTTCTGCAGAGAACAGTGAGGAGAAGCGTTGATAAGCTCTTTTGGCTGAATCCTTTAGGTAATGCTGAGATTTGTGAAATGTAAAGATGGGAGTAAGCCCGATGGTTCAGCACAGACGGTCTCATACAATTTGCTGGTGAAAACACCATCTGTTTTTATGTCATTGGGGAGAAGTTTGAAGCTTCTCAAATGGGCTTATGAGGAGTCCTAGGGGAGAAGAGATGAAGCCTCAGGGAAGCACAGCGGATCTTCTCGGAGCTTCCGGCTCACTTCCACGTGTGTGGGGGGGTATTTTTAGATTGCAGATTATTCAGTAGAGTGCAACGTGCAAACATTTTGTAAGATGAACTGTTAGACTTGAAAAACATTTCTTGCTAGTGACCCAGGCTCCATCTTCTCTGTGTGGAAAGGTGTAAGAATCCCCAGTTGATGGGCTGGTAGGTTGTATGGTGGCTAAGTGCTAGACTCACCCATGGCTGACCAGGGTTTGCATCCCAGACTGGGCAGCTTGCTTCTCACTTTCTCTCTCTCTCTTTCTCTGGTCAAATTAGAAAATAAAAATAATAAATAAAATTAAGTAAATAATTATTAAAAAAAGAAAAAAAGAAAGAAAGAAAGAAAGAATACTCAGTTGAGGTACAAGGGACCTTTGGAGAAGCATTCTCAGGCCAAAGTTTGCATATGAGCTTTGACCATAAAGCCTTGGGCTCCCTGGTAGTGGGAAGGAGACCAAGAGGGCCTGGGTGCTAGCTGGGGCGAGTGCAGAGCAGCCCCAGGTTCCCAGAGCCAGACAGCCCAGTCCCTCGTAGAGCTCTGAGTACAGGACTTGCGGGTTGCTCGCTAATGGCAGACAGGTAAGGAAGACAGAATGACGGGGAAAGAGGAGGAGGAAGCATCTTACCAAACTAGCCAGACTAAATTCCTTTCTGGGCAAGCAAAAACATCCTTAGCTAAGTTGGTCACATTGTCTTCCGACAGCCTTAGACTCACGGAGATGAATGATAGACTCTGTCCATTTCCCAGTGTGACCAGCTGAGCGGGGGCTGAGCTAAGACCCCATGTGGGGCAAGTGCCAACTATACCGTAGACACCTGGTCACTTGCCAGAAGGTCCAGAAGGGCAGATGAATGCAGTGGTGCAGGATGGTAGCAGATGAATCTGGGAGGCCTCCTGGGGGAAGAGGATTTTGAGTTTTGGGAGACAAAGTCCCAACTGCAGAGCAAAGTGTATGCAGAGACGGGCCTTGGTTCCCTGTGTAGGATTAGCCTTGTGGGGTGGATTACTGGCACAGAGCTGTGGTAAGAACAGCCACTGCACCCCCATCTTTTCCTCCTTCCATGTCAAAGGGGCCTCAGTTCCCTGGGAGATGTTACGATGAGCAGAACCGACCCAGAAACTAGCAGTTAGCTGCCTCTTGGGGAAGGAGCGTGGGCAGAGTGAGCAGCAGTGGTTAACATGGCAGTTGTCTGAGTCTCCAGTGTCATGGAGGAGACACCCCAAGAGTCAGACCGAGGTGTCAGCGGCCACTGGCTCCATGAATAGTCTGCAGTGCCCACGGACAGGCCAGGCGCCCTCCTGCTCTGCAAGGCCATTTAGCTTTCTTTCTTTTTTTTTCTAAGTAATTGTTTTATTTAACTTTATTTATTTATTTAGTTAGTTCCTTTAATTTTACCAGAGAGGGACAGAGCAAGAGAGAGAGAGAGAGAGAGGGAAAGTGAGAAATCAAGCCGCCAGGTCAGGGACTTGAACCATGGTCAGCCATGTAGGAGTCCAACACCCTTAACCACACCACCTGCCGGCCCCATCCAACTTACTTAGGCCATGTCAAAACTTGCACTGCAGCTGAGCACTTGAAGATGATGCATTTTCCTGAAACACGAGGAAAGCCAACTTTCAACATCCAGTTTCGTGCAAAACCAGCTCCCATTTCTACCAGACCCGCACACCAAGCAGAGGCCCTGCAGTTATAAGACTAGGGTTGGGGGCTGGGGCAGCACAGGAGGAGGGTAGACTAGGCATTGAGACCATTCTGCCCATGGGCTATTTAGTTAGTTCCTTTAATTTTACCAGAGAGGGACAGAGCAAGAGAGAGAGAGAGAGAGAGGGAAAGTGAGAAATCAAGCCGCCAGGTCAGGGACTTGAACCATGGTCAGCCATGTAGGAGTCCAACACCCTTAACCACACCACCTGCCGGCCCCATCCAACTTACTTAGGCCATGTCAAAACTTGCACTGCAGCTGAGCACTTGAAGATGATGCATTTTCCTGAAACACGAGGAAAGCCAACTTTCAACATCCAGTTTCGTGCAAAACCAGCTCCCATTTCTACCAGACCCGCACACCAAGCAGAGGCCCTGCAGTTATAAGACTAGGGTTGGGGGCTGGGGCAGCACAGGAGGAGGGTAGACTAGGCATTGAGACCATTCTGCCCATGGGCAATTTTTTGCCCTGGTAATTGTAAGTGGCTAGAGGAACGGGTTTTCCAGGGAGGGCTCCCTCTGAGAGCTAAGCCCTTGCAGATGCGGGTAGCAAGTTCTGCTGGATACCCGTGTTCTGGAGTTTCGGGCCTCCACTGAGCGGCACTGAAGCACCTGGAGAGTAGAGGCCACAGGGGACCCATTTTGCTGCCCCTGGGCATGTGGGCACACTGCCTCACACGCAGTTGAATGGAAAGAAACCTAGTGGAATTTGAGGCCAGGAAGCAGGATTCAAACACAATTCTCAGTGCATCCAGAGCCTCCGTTTAGCCAAGTGCTCATCCTCTCTTTTACCAGAGCTAACTAGTCACATAGCTGTCTGCCTCTGACCATCACAATGTCTTTGCTCTTCAAGCTGTGAGCGGGAAGGCCCGGCGAGGCAGGATAGCCACCAGGAGCCCATGGCCGTTGAAGCCAACGTCAGATTCCCATGCGTGTTCTTTTTACCTCCCCACAGTGCCTGGCCCCTGGCCAAAAGCAATGCTAACACCAACAACAACACCAATACCGACAAAAAGGAGGAGGTGTAAGTACCCGTGCTCCCTGCAGAGCCTGCTCACCTCCTCAGTCCTAGCGGCCACTCTCCTCCCGTAGAAAATCCCCGACTTCGCCTCTCTCCTTGGTACCCCTGCTTCCCACCTCCTGACAACCGGTAGACCATTCTAGAATCCTGTTCCTTGTATTGGAAACCCACCCCTATGAACGGAAGTGCGAGAGGGACCTGACCTGTATGACTTCTTTGGGCAAGTCATTTTCTCTCTTTGGCTCTCGTTTTCCTCATCGATAAAGCAAAGGGGTTGGATGGGACCGACGCGTTGACCTTCACCGTCCTGTATCCCTGTACATTTGAAGGTGTAAAACTGGAGTTCCTTCCCAGAGCAGTGGGTGTCCGTCCTGACAACGGGAACGCATCTTCCACCCCGCAGCCTAAGGCTCCTGTGTGCCGGGGAAATGCCCTTGTCTTAAGGCTGATTCAGGCCAGTTTTGAGAGTGTATGCAGGGCAGTGGAGAGAGGGAATTTCAGTCTGTCCAGAGAGTAGCCTCTTGGAAGGTGACCTACTGCAATGCCTTACTATCACCAGACGCTGAGATGGCGGTGCTTGATGTGCCATTTTCCAAAGCCCAGGGGGTGTGTGTGTCCACGTGTGCGGGACTGTACGGGTGCCTTAGTGCGTGGGTGTCTCCAATTCTCCAGCCTCACTGCTTCGTTATGGACTACTATGGCGGGGGAGGGAGGTCTTAGAGGGGAAAACCATCAGTATCAGCAAGAAATGTGAATTTCTTGGCTTCTGACTGACAGAGAAATGGGCCGAGGCTTTTTCTTATTGTTCTGTTCCTTGGAGGGGTTCATTTTCTGCTTTTCTCCAAGAGTCTTAGTCATATTTGTTTGCACAAATCTAGACATCAAATCCAGAGACCCAAATACCAGCAACCAAGAAAAATAAAATGATTTCATCTGCAAAGCAATAGCTTTGACATAATTGCCTGATTAAAAGCCCAAACCCAGTGCCGACAGGTGGTGCAGAGATCAAGGCAACTGGATTCCACGTGACTGAATGTGTGGTTCGAGTCCCAGACACGGTGACCTGAAAACAGTCTCGAGCATATGTGTGTACATGCCCAAAATCTCGAGAATGGAGGAGAAGGGACTGAGGCGTGGCCATCTCCTCTGGGGGGTGATTTTTCACTTTCTCTCTCCGGTGAGAGAACACACACACCCTATGGCCAAAAAAAAAAAAGTCTTTTAAAAAAAAAAAGGCAAACCTAACATTACATACAGTTGAAACCCTGGTCCCTGTTATTGAGTCCCTTTCAGGCAGGGCGCTAGAAGCCACAGACTGAGTCTGTGGGGCTCTAGGTGTCTTTGTCCTGGGGCTCGGATATGGGCAAGGGTGAAGTTGGATGGTGTTGCCTGCATCAGGCTCTTAAATCTCTTCAAATGAGCTCATTTCATGGGTCCATGCTCCGGCCAAAATTGAAAACTGTCCCCAAATATTTCATTCTGTACACCTTCCTCTACTCTTCCTCCACATTTCTGGATTTTCACTGAGTGTCTAGGGTCCTGAATAATTTTCTCCTCGTTGATGAAACTGTTCCCAGCCAAAACCAGCATCATTTTGCAGCTGTTTGTAGGTTCTTTTAAGGCAATGCTGAGTGGATTTGGGCATACAGCTGGATGGTGCTGGGTCTTTCCTAGGCCCTTAGCAGTTGGTAACTGGAGAAGGGCCAAGTCCTGCAGCCCAGAGCCACAAATTCTGGTACAAAGCAAGCCGAAGGTGTAATTAAATTCTACGCAGGCTAAGCATGCTCGATAAGTTTGTGGAGAGCGCCCTCTGCTGGTGCCTTGATTAACTCTCCAGTGGCGACAGACTGCCAGGGTCACCTCTGTAGATTCAGGCTAGGTGACTGTTCTTTCTTCTGGGCAACTTTAATTTTTTTTTTTCTTATCTATTTTATTCATATTCTCACTTTTGAGAACTTGGAAGATAAGAAAAAGACCCGAAAGCAAATACACACAAGATGTTCACAGTGGGATCCCACTATCAGATATATATATATATATCTCTCCTGCTTAAGAGCATCTGTCTTCCCAACTCAGTTCCTTATCAGCTTTGTGACCTTGGGCAAGTTGCCTAATATGTCTGTGTATAAATCTCCTAACTTATAAAGTAAGGATCGTGGTAATGTCTGACAGGGTGTGTGAATATAAACGTGTTAATATATGTAAAGTTCTCTTAATGCCTGATACGTAGGGCACCCTCAACAAATATTGACTCTCATGGCAGGCAGGATAACTCTCCCACAAAGATGTCTACCATCCTCATCCCTAGAACCGATAAATAGATTAGCTTTATGGCAAAGGGGCCTTCACAAGTGTCATTAAATTTAAGGTCCTTGAGATGGGCTATTATCCTGGATTAACAGGACCCAATGTAATCACATAAGTCTTTAAAAAGCAGAAGGGGGAGCTAGAAGGGTGGGTGCAAGAGCTGAGAAGGACGGAGAGGCTCCCGTTGGAAGAGGAACTCAGCCCATGTTTGCTAGCCTCAGAGATGGAGGGCAGGGGACAGAGCCAAGGAGGCAGCAGCTTCTACACCTGGGACAAGCTCCCACTTACAGCCAGCCACCAAATGGGGACCCTAGTCCTACCATGGGAAGATGCAGACTTCAGACTTCCGTCAGCAATCCAAATGAGCAGGAAATGGTTTGAGCTGCTGAGAGCTTGCTTCGAGTCGAGTAGAACTTGGCCCAGACCTTTCGACTAAAGAACTATTTAGATGATAGCTTCGTGTTGTGTCAAGCAACTACATGTGTGGTCATCTGTTAGGCCAGCAATTGAAAACTAATAGCTGCTTCAATCCACCTGGGGTGCTGCTGTAACAAGCCTAAAAACATGGATGTGGCTTTGGAACCAGTAACTAGGCAGAGCTGGAATAATTTTGATCAGCACGATTCAAAAACAAAATCTAGATTGCTCTGAAAAGACAGCTAGTAGAGATATGGACATTAAAGACTGACAGTATAGGGACCAGCAGTTAGTGTAATGGCTGTGTTGCTGGACTCCCGTGTAGTCGACCGTGGTTCAAGTCCCAGACTCGGTGGCTTAAACTCATGCCAGGCGCATGTGCGTGCGTGCCCAAGATCCCGAGAGGAGAATGGAGGAGAAGGGATTGCGGCGTGGCCAACCCCCCTGGGGGGTGATTTCTTATTTTCTATCTCTCCGTCTCTCTGTCTGGTGAACACACACGCCCTATAGCAAAAACCTCTAAAAATAAATAAATAAATAAATAAGACTGACAATATAGGCTAAGGAGAGAACACTTAAATTATCTACATGCCTAAAATTTAATATATACAAGCTGCTTTAAATCCTTCTAAACAGATTATTAGTGGAAATCTGGGTTGTAAGAATGCTGCTAGTGAGGGCCCCGAAATAAATGAGGAGCGCTAACTGGAAAGTGGAGATGAGACTCGTACAGCGATCAAAAGCTTAGTAGACTGTACCCTGCGGTAATGAGGAAAAGCACAGCTCGCGGGCAATATGCTTGAATTTTTAGCCGAGCAGGTTTCTAAGCAAAGTGTTGAAGGTGCAGCCTGGTTCCTTTATGATATACAGTTAAAATGTAAGGGAAAAAAAAAAGATAAATTGAAGGGAGAAATGTTTAATGAGAAAAAACCAGGACCTGACCATTTGGGAATTTCTCATTAAGAAGAAACCAGGACCTGACCATTTGGGAATTTCTCCTCCTACTCAAATGGCAAAAGATACTAAATTTAATAAAGTCACTATTAGGAAAACATGCCTTAGAAAAAAACCCAAGGGTGTGCCTAGGCAACCTTTGTTAATACTTCAGGGAGATTGGGAAGTCTTAGTATTCACCACATACAGAGTTCTCCAGAGGTGAAGGGACAGTTCAGCTCCCCTCGGTCAAAGAACAGAGACGGCATTGCTCAGCAAGATCTACGGGTGGAGCTTGTTCCTGATGGAGTGACTTTCCATGATGTGCATGTCTAACTGAGCCCAGGAAATGTCATGTCAGCAGAAGAGCCACCAGCTTGACTACGAAGGGACAGAAAGAACACAAAACAACGGAAGATTACTGGGTCCTTTCATTTCTAGCAGCAGAGAGCAGGCTAAAAAGCCTACTCAGCCACAAGCAGGTACTACCTCTTATGAAAAAGAAAGAAAAATGTAAGCGTAAAGCCTTGAGCCCGGAGGGCAGAGCCGTGAACCAGAGGATTATTCTTGGGTTTTGAACCATGACGGCATTTGCACGACTAGCTGTCATCATTGCTTGGGACTCGTGACTCCGTTTGCCCTTCTCCCTTTTTGAGGACTGTTTGTGACAGGTGTCCGTGCCAGTCCCACCATTGTGTGGAGCACATCATTTGTTTCTTTACTTTCACAGGCCCGCAGGTGGAGAGAATCGAGCCCACAATAATTCCCCAGAGACGCACCCGAACCTGAGCAACTGGCGACATGTAGATGAGATTTGGGGCTTAGGTGGTGCCGTAATGGGGTGAGACTGTTGGAGATTTGGAGATGGGGGGAATGCATTTTGCACATGGGATGAGTGTGAATTTTTTGGAGGGGCCGAGGCTGGAGTGTAGTCGGCAGAATACTGGCTTCCAAGATGCCTGTGCCCGAGTCCCCGCATCACGTGAATGTGTTCATTCCCTATGCGGCAGAAAGGACTTTGCAGGTGTGATTAAAAGGACTTTGCAGGTGTGATTAAGGCCCACCAGATGGGGAAATGATCCTGGATTATCAAAACGGACCAAATATAGTGATGTGCATCCCTCAATGTGAAGAACCTTTCCCAGCTGCAGAGGAGCAGTGAAATGGCGTTTTGAAAGGAACTTAATCCACTGTCGTTGGCTCTGAAAATACAGGAGGGGGCAGGAACCAGCAGTTAGCGTAATGGCTATGTCGCTGTTCTCCCACGTAGTCGACCGTGATTTGCGTCCTGGACCCGGTGGCTTAAAACTCACGCCGGGCGCGTGTGCATGCGTGCCCAAGATCTTGAGAGGAGAATGGAGAAGAAGGGGTCGCAGTGTGACCATCCCCCCGGGGGGGTGATTTTTCGCTTTCTGTCTCTATGTCTCTCTGTCTGGCGAGTACACACGGCCTAGAGCGAAAACCTCTCCAAAAAAAAATACAGGAGGGGGCCATGAACCCGACAAGATGATGGCATCTGAAAGCTTGGCAAGGCCTTCACATTATAGCCAGGAAGGAAAGATGGGACCTCAGGCATACAATGAGAAGAAACCGCATTCTTCCAGCAATTCAAACGATCAGAAAGAGATTGTTTCTGGGAGACTCTATGCAAGAATGCATCTTTGACGCCTTGGTTTTATTCTGGTGAGATCCACCCCGCACTTCAGATCTGTAGATCTACGACAAGATAGTCATGTTGCTGAAGCCACGAAGTCTGGTGTTGTTCTGGCAGCCAAATAAAGCCATCTCGCTGTCAACAGAGACCTTTTCTTCCAAAGTTGCTTTTATTTATATATATTTGTATATATATTACTTTATTCATATTTGTATACACACACACACACACACATATATATTTTTTTTTTTCATGAGAAAGGGAGACAGAAAACGTTCTCACATGATCTGCCCTCAGTCTCCGCTGGCCCAGGGTGCTCAAGGAGACCCCAGGACCTGAACCCAGACCCTCTCTCATGGAGATCTGGTTAGACCATCGCTGTGCCAGCATCTGGCCCCTTTAGTCTGCTTTTTATTTATTTATGTATTTTTAGAGATTTTTGCTATAGGGTACTAGAGAGACAGAAAGCAAGAAATCACGCCCCAGCGGGGTGGCCATACCACAGTCCCTTCTCCTCATTCTCCTCACAGGATTTTGGGCACACACGCACATGTGCCTAATATGAGTTTCAAGCCACCAGCTCCAGGACTCGAACTGCAGTCAGCCATGTGGGCGTTCAGTGACATAACCACTACGTCATCTGCTAGTCTGTAGTCTGCTTTTTAACCTAGCAAAATATGAAGAACAACTTTCCCATGTCGCTAACTATTCCTCCACAACATTATTCTAAATGGCCTTCTAAACTCCATTGTCAGTGAGGAATCTCTCCTGTCCCATGGTTAGACTGCTCATCCATTCTGACTATTATGAATAATGGTGGTGATTTCTCTTCTACACGCGTGCGTGCCCACAGCCTTGAGTATCTCCTCAGGAAGTGCTAGGTAACAGTGTACTGGTATTTTTCACAATGAGCGTTTAATTAGCAACATTTATTTCTCAGCCTGTGCCTTCCTCCCTAGAGTTGAAGAACAGAGGAAGGTTCCATGGATACCCCTTCTATAAGCAGGACCTTTCACCTTTCTGTGTGGTTTTTCTCACCATTCAATGGACACGAATTCCTGCCTTGCAGAACTGTTTTATTAATTAGGTCACCTTGCAACAGAACCTAGCCCATGACAGCTACCCAGTGAAGAGGAGGGAGCAGAGCGAAGCCGTGTGTTGAGATCCCTGCACTAGCAGGCCTGTCCTGCAGACGTAACAGCCTCACAGTCAGCAAAGTCTGAATATGTTTCTAAGTGAGGCTGCAGGGACCAACAGATGGCGTAATGGTTATGTCACTGTACTGCCACATGGCCGACTGCAGTTCAAGTCCTGGACCCAGAGGCTTGAAACAGGCCAGGCGCATGTGTGCGTGCCCAAGATCCTGAAGGGAGACTGGAGAAGGGATTGTGGTGTGGCCATTCCCCCTGGGGGGTGATTTCTCACTTTCTGTCTCTCTGTCTGTCCCTCCAGAGAATGCACGTGTCCTAGAACAAAAATCTCTCTAAATAAATAAATATGGCCACATTTGCAGGCCTCAGACGATGCTGAGACTTGCCACTCAGAGTGTCACAAACATGATCCTGCCTCTGTGGATTTTGCTTCCCTTCTGTTTGCTTGCTTTCTCATCCAGGCCAGGTTTTCATCTGACCCAGAGACAAAGTTTCCAACAACCAATGGACTATACCCATTCCTTCAGATCAAGGAGCTTGAGGGGGCCAACAGTGGCACAGTGGTAAACGTGATGCTCTGCAAGGCTGACCCTTGGGGAGGTTCTGGGTTCACATCTGGGGAACCCCCCACGTACGCCGAACGTGAATGTGCCCATGACCTGGGGCTAGCTGGGCTGGGACTGGATCGTGGTGTGAGGGCCCTGTTGGGGGTGCTGCATATCAGTCTCCCTCTCTCTGTCTCTCTTGCTCATGGAAGTAATGAATAAACTTTAAAAGAATTATAAAAAGAGAAAGAGAGCGAAGATCTTGACCTGTGACTTCCAAAACATCAAATGACTTTTCCACCTTCCGAGTGTGGTTTTGGGTTTATCTCTCATGCCTCAGAATGTCTCCCGTCTCAGGCTATTGGGACCTCCCGGAACTGATGGAAACAGTTCGGGCTTTGTAGAACTGTCGGCAGGACCGCGGATTTCTCAACGTAAGCTTCAGTGGTGGCTTTCCTCACACTTGAGGAATAATAATGATGAAATCAATAACCTCGTCTCATCCCACAGGCTGCAAATACCCACTTTCTGAGCCATGCCCTCCTTCCGGCCACTGCAGCCTGCCCGCTCCAGTGTGGGAACGTCCGTGGTCTATGGCACCTGCTGTGACCCTGCATTGTCTGGTTACAGGCAGAAAGGAGGGGACAGAGAAAGGAAGGAAGAACTAACTAAAAGGAGAGGAGGGAGCACTGAGAGGAGCTGCCCCCTGCCCCAGGAGGGGGTTCACAGTCACGGCAGCCTGACCCCTCCCTGCCAGTGTACCGCTGAGGGAAAGGCATTGACCCCAGGCTGGGAACCAGGCTTCCAGAGAGCAGTGCCTCGCTCTGCAGGGAAGTTTCCCCCCAGCGCTGGAAACCCAGGTGGTTTATCTGCAGCCTCAGGTGAGCAGCCTGCAGCTGGCCCTGACAGCCTGTTCATGCCACAGCACCTGGCTTGTAAGTTGAACCAGGGATCAAACCTGGGCCTCCCCATGGCCCCAGCCTGTGGGGCACAGCATTTTTTGTCTTTTGTTTTTTGTTTTTCATACATTCAATCACTGTATATCATTACAGCTTGCAAAATGAATTTTCCTGCCATGAATATGCCATATATTAGCCCAGTTAAACGCTATCATCAGCAGATAATTGTCCATTTTCGTGGCACTTAAATGTTCTGCTTCTTTCTTTTTCCCCTTGATTACCTTTCTCCCTTCCTCCCTCATTTCCCACCCTCCTCCCACACCGCCTCTAGTATCCACATATGCCACCATGGCTGGGCCATGCCAAGCTGTGTTTTCACTCCCTTCCTCCGAAAGGCATGGACGTGACCACAGGCACATGGGAACACTGTAGTCATGATTTTATAGTCAACCGTGGCTTCCTGCAGAGTCTACCCTTCCTCCCAGCCTGTCTTTTCACAGGGGGACACTCCATGGCACCCTGGGACTAAGAGCATCCTGTCATGGACACCCCTTCTTGAGCTTCAGCCTGAAATTACCCTAGGAGTCCCCAGCTAATCCAGGTCTCTAAAACCCCCCAGAGCTGTCGTCTTTCTGTGCATTGCACTGTGTGTGTGTGTGCATTTCCAGAAAGAAGAAGGACCCCATCGTGGTGGACCCCTCCAGCAACATGTACTACCACTGGCTGACTGTCATCGCCACGCCCGTCTTCTACAACTGGTGTCTGCTCGTGTGCAGGTAGGGGGCAGGGATGCCAGGGCAGCCAGGCCTGGGTGACAGCTCTGGGTGTCACTCAGGAAGCCTGAGTCCTGGTCCCCACATGTCCACCACATGGCTCCTGGATTTCAGTTTCTCCAGCTAAAAACCAGGAGGTGGGGCCAGCAGGAGACAGCGATGAAGGCACTGGACCCCCATGTGGTCACTGGCGGTCCGAGTGTTGGACCTGGCAGCTTGAAACGCACACTGGGCACATGTGCATGTGTATCCAAAGTCCTGAGAGGAGACTGGAGAAGGGATTGTGGCATGGCCATCTCCCCTGGGAGTGATTTCTCACTTTCTGTCTCTCTGTCTCTCTCAAAAATAAATAAAAAAACAGGTTCTTGGGCCAGCCAGTGGCCAAGGTGGCTGGATCCCACATAGCCAACTGAATGGTTCAAGTCCTAGACTCAGCACCTTGAGAACCATGCTGAGCACACGTGTCTGCCCAAAATCCCAAAAGGAGGGTAGAGGGGAGGGACCTGCCATGTGGCCATCACCCACAGGGGATGTTTACTCTTTGTCCCTCTGTCTCTCTCTGGCGAGCACATACACTCTGACAAAATGAAAATACGAGGTTCTCAGAGAGGACCGTCAGGGTGCTCAGGAGCACTGGCGGGAGCTGAGTTGAGACAGACAGTGAGGGGTCCCTCACTTCGGGGCCCCCTGAAGTGAGATGAATGAGGATAGTGCAGGGGCGAGGCGCTGCTCCTCTGAGGGCAAACGAGTCAGGGTGTGGGGCATTCGTGAACTCGCCATGGGACAGAGATGCAGGAGGAGGCGCTGCGGTCTGGGGTGGGCCTCTCCTACGTGAGCGCAGCCCTGGGATGCAGAGTAAACTGCTCGTCTTCGGAGGGTCCATGTGGGCTTGAGAGGTTCCTGGGCAAGCGCGGACCCCCCGACGCACAGGAAGCTTCTGGAGCTAAGAGGAGGCCTTGGAAATTGTCTCAGCAAGCTGCAGATGGAGGTGCGGGGTGAGCGGCTGCTCTCCTCACAGGCAGGAGGGGACCTAGGGCTTCTCCTAGGAAGACTGCCATTTGCCAATGCGGAGGTCAGACGCTGTTCCTCTGAGGGGCAGCCGGGACACCCTTGGCTTTCCTGAGCAAGGCACAGATGGGGGGAGCTATGTTCTGAGGGCCGGTGAAGGAGGCATCTCTGAGTGTGCTGGACGAGGCTGGGCCAGCTGCTGCCCACCTGTGGGCAAGCAGAGGGTTAGGTGTTTCCGAGAAAGTCCATGGCTGTCAGCTGCTGAGCAGGGGTGAAGGGTCAGCTGATGCTCTTTCAAAGTAAGCAAGGGGTGGAGCTGGCAGGTGGCGTGGTGGATAAGGTGCTGGACTCCTACATGGTAGACCATGGTTCTAGTCCTGGACCAGGTGGCTTGCTTTCTCACTTGCCTTCTCTCTCTCTGGTCATGTCCCTCTCTGGTCAGATTTAAACAAACAAACAAACAAATTAATTAAATCTTAAAACAAAATAATGCAAAAACTGTCTTTCAATTTGTGAGGGGGTTAGGGAGCTTTGTAATGCTCTTGCCCATCACTGACCCCCTCCCGCACTGGATCCTAGATGCAGCTTTAGCAATTGCAGCTCTACTTTGTTTTATTTAGTTTCCTATGTTACAGTCTTTAGCAGTAGTATAAAAAATGTGTTTTTTTAATAAAATATCATCTTGGTAAGATTTCTTTAATACGATTTTATTCTTGGCAGCTTTCATGTCTTCTTGGTTAATGGCATACACTAAATTAGGAGCAGCTTGGGGTTTGGAATTTTGAATGAGATGACCAAGGTTGCCAAAAGCAGATATAGTTCAAGAATCCCTAATTCAAACATTTGAAATAAAAAAATGTGTGAAATACAGAGCACGTGGACCCACAAGATATGGGGGCAGATACGTGACACGGTGAGCCTGGCACCCACGAGCAGGTTCCAGGTTGGCATCTGGAGTCCTCCCTGAACACTGGGTGCATGCTCAGGAGGCTAGAGGCAGGTTGTGGCGGGAAGCCCCTGCTGGGGTGCTGTCTCTGTCTGGCTGTGTCTCTGTCATTCATGGGAGAAAGAAAAACTTAAAAAACAAAAAAAGATCTGGGCGAACCTCACAGCACAGTGGTCAGGTTCGGTGCAGAGGAAACCCACGATGGTTGACCAGGGTTTCGGTCCCAACCTTGTCTGCTGGGAAAGCGCACTGGGCGTGTGTGCCTGCCTGGGATCCTGGTGGATGGGGAATTGGAGGGGAAGGGATGGCAGCATGACCAGCCCCACTGGAAGCTCTCTCTCTCTCTGTCTTTCTCTTGTGCATGAGGGCATGCCCTCTAACATTAAAATATATATTTATACTTAAATATCTAGAAGGTAGAAAATATTTGCCAGCTTGTTCAGTAGTTAACCTCTTAGAAATCCTCAAACTCGTTCTAATTTGACCCCAGAAAAGGTAGATCAGCCCCTCTCCCTGACTCCATCAGTGAGGCCTGGGAAAGCTCTGCCCTGGGGTCTCACAGCTCACCGCTGGGGGGCAGCAGGGCCGCTCTTCAGGGTCAGTCCCAGCTCGTCCTCGGAGCTTCAGGACTGTGGGACAGAAAAGCTTCTCAGGGCTTGGCTCTCCTCATCTGAAACCTGGGGTGATTGTATGGGGTGATGACACTGTGAGCAGGGCACATTTGTTTCTTTATTATTTATTTTTTTAAAAAAAGAATTATTTATTATCATTCTTTTTCTTTTTTTTCTTTTTTTTTTTTTTTTTTGAGAGATGTTTGCTATAGGGCACATGTCATGTGCACGGCAGAAAGAGAGAGAGACAGAGAGACAGAAAATGAGAAATCACCCCCTGGGGGGATGGCCACGCTGCAATCCCTTCTCCTCCATTCTCTCGGGATCTTGGGCATGCACGCACATGCACCCGGTGTGAGTTTAAGCCCCCGGGTCTGGGACTCGAACCATGTTTGACTTTGGGAGTCCGGCGACATAGCTATTACACCAACTGCTGGTCCCTATTTTTCAATTTTGACCAGAGAGAAACAGAGAGATCACCCCTCCAAGTCTGGGACTTGAACCACTGTTGACCATGTAGGAGTCCAGTGCTTTTAATCACCATACCAACTGCCAGTCCTGCTATTATTTTTTTAAGAAAAAAATATATATTTGCCAGATGAAATAACCCAGCGTCTGCAGCACAGGCCAGTGCCCACATGTGTGGGCTCCGACACGGGCTGCATGTCTCACTCTTGTTTAGGGCCTGTTTCGATGAGCTTCAGTCCGAGAACCTGATACTGTGGCTGATCCTAGACTACACGTCGGACGTCGTCTATGGCTTCGATATGCTGGTGCGAGCCCGCACAGGTGAGTGAGCCCCAGGCCCAGGTGGGTGTGCGGAGATCCAGGTTAGGGCCACACCTGCCTACCTTTGCCCATGAGAGGCCAGGTAAGTCTGGGACGCTTTGACCAGGAGAGTGCTTGCTGCTGTCTCAGACCCCCCATGCTGAACTTGTAAGCAGGACCCTGAGTGGGGAAATGGGTGCTTGGGCTCTGCTCTCCCGAGGAGCTGTGTGACCTTGGGCAAGTCCTGCGGTCTCCCTAGGCCTCATTTGTATCACCTGTCAAATAAGAAGGTCAATCTGGGCCAGCACCGTGGCAACAACAGTAACACACTACTCAGGAGAAGCCAGATCCCACGTGGCAATTGTGGTTCAAATCCCTAGTCTGGCAGCCTGAAACACGCAGGGCCTGCATACACATGAGTACCCAAGATCCAGTGGGCTGGAGGACTGGGGCAGGGAGACAGAGGTGTCACCAGATGTTGTGGCGAGTACCCGTCCCCTGATTCATGTGTGTCTACACTCGCTCTGTTGTGAATGGGAGGGAAAGGCACCTCTCCTGTTCTGACTACTCAACATTGGGGGGAATGGGAGGGCGACCTCAGAGGATCTTGGAGTTTCTCTTCCTGGACAGTCAGAGTGCAGGACTCGGGCGTTTCACTCCACGGCTTCCACAGGTGTTTTCACATGTGGAGATACAATCTGAAATGGCCTAACCAAGCGACGACTTCCTTCTACTCACCTCTGGTTGGGGGTGGGGGGACACCGTAGGCTCTAAGCTGTGTACCCGTGGTGTCCCTTTGTCTAGTTCGCACCAAGACATCCCCTAAGCTGCTAGAGGTTGTGCCTGTCCCGAGATTTCTGAACTAAAATTGTGCCGTAGTGGTCACGGTCAACACCACCGACCACAGCAGCAACACCGGACATGGCTTCGTGGCGTACAAAGCACAGCGTGTCTTCTCTTTAGAACTGCTGCAGGAGATAAGTGCTGGCCTGATTGTCTCCATCTACTGATTTAGAAACCGAGGCCATGGGGCCAGCAGGTGGCGCAGCGGTTAAGGTTCTGGCCAACGGCAGTTCGAGTCCCAACATAGTGACTTGCTTTCTCACTTTCTCTCTCTCTTCCTCCTTCTCTCTCTCTTTCCCCAGTGAGTGCACATGCCCTATAGCAAATTGTTTAAAGATAATAATAAATTATTATTAAATGATTGCTTATTTGATTTATTTATGTAAACTATTTGACCAGAGAGAGACAGTGAGAGAAAGAGAAAGTGAGAAAGCAGGTCACCAGGTCCAGGACTCAAACCCAAATAAATAACTTTTTAAAAAGAAAGAAAGAAAAAGAAAAGAAAGAAAGAGAAAGAAAATGAGTTCCTCTCTTAAGAAAGCATCACCGGGGACCAGCAGATGGTGGGATAGCTATGTCGCTGGACTCCCATGACCCAGCCATCTCTGTCTTCTGTCCCCCTGCCATGGTCACGTTAGCTACATAGAGCTCTCTGAGCAGCCCACTGGGCTGACAGTCCTTGTTCTGGGCCAACCTTCAGTGAAACAAGACGCCCTCACTTACAGACCCAGCCATCTCTGTCTTCTGTCCCTCTGCCATGGTCACGTTAGCTACATAGAAGCAAGAGCTCTCTGAGCAGCCCACTGGGCTGACAGTCCTCCCCAAAGCATTCCCCAGGGAGAAAAATGATCAGAATTGAAAGAAGACATCTTAAAGTAGTTGCAAGAGTCCCAAGGCACAGGGAGAGCTGTGTGACACACTGGGCATGCACTAAACACATGGTCACCAAAGAATGATGTTAGGCAGGGGCTGGGAAGTGGGCTGTCCTGTACGTGTGAATCGATCTTGATATTCGATGTTTTTCTCTTTAATTTTTACTGTCAGGAGGTGGGGGAGGGAGATTGTACCCCCCATTGGGCAGGATCACATCGCATTCCCTTCTCCTCCATCTCTCCATCCTGTCAAGATTTGGGGCACACACACATACATGCCTGGCGTGTTTTTCAAGCCTCCGGGGCTGTGACTCAGACCTTCCAGGTGGCAATGCAGAAGCTACTTCCTTAACCACTAAGCCACAGGGCCGGCCCTTGAATTTTTTATTTTTAAGTTTTTGCCATAGTGCACATATTCCCACCAAAGAGAGACAGAAAAGGACAGAGAGGAGAAAGTGAAAAATCACCCCCCACAGGAGGAATGGCCACACCACAGTCCCTTCCCCTCCATTCTCTTCATGGGACATTAGCACATGCTTGTATGCATGCCCGATGTGATCTTTCAAACCGTCGGATCCAGGACTCAAACCACAGTCGCCCATGTGGGGGTCCAGAGTCTTAACCACCACACCGCCTGCTGGCCCTTGGTCCTGATTTTTTTATTTTAATGGAATGCTTGGTCCTACCCTCAGCCTACCCTCACAGTGTGCCCCTGGGGCAGCAGCAGAAGCAATGTCTGGTGCTTGCTGGAAGCCCCCAGACCCACGGGCAGGCCCACATTCACTTCACAGAGCCCTCGGGGACTTCCATGCTCAGCAAAATGTAACAAGCAATCATTATATCATTCTATTTTTGCATGTGTTTGAAACATTTTTTAAAGAATTATTTTATTTAACTTCATTTATTAATTTTAAATATTGACCAGAGAGGGACAGAGTGAAAGAGAGAGAGAGAGGGAGAGAGCACATGAGAAGACAAGCCGCCAGGTTCGGGATTCGAACCACGGTCAGCCATGTGGGAGTCCAGCACCCTTAACCACCACACCACCTGCTAGCCCCTTGAAAATATTTTGAAAATAATAGAAAGTAACGTAGGTCACAACCTCCTTGATTGATTTGGGCAGTCACAATGCCTCGTGGTTCCCAGCATCTCACATTCCCACACATTCTGATTGTCTGGGATGGGCCTAGACTTTATAGGTTATAAAAACCCTTTTGGTAATCATAAGATGCAACCAGGAAGGATAATGACTGCGTTCCTGGGCACGATTTTGAAGAGGTGGGTCGTGAGCCAGCCAGGTAGTGTGGTGGTTAAGGCAGCTGCGGAGCCAACTGTGGAGTTCTAGTCCTCGACCCACTACTGCCTATTGGGTAGTTGGGATGTGAAATATCTTTCTGTGAGCCATGGTCCAAAAGTCAGTCCGTTTGATGCCTCAGTGACCTGCATCTTCTTCTTTAGGTTTCCTCGAGCAAGGCTTAATGGTCACAGATACTGACCGGCTGTGGAAACATTACTCAAAGACCTTGCAATTCAAGCTGGATGTGTTGTCCATGGTCCCCCTGGACCTGGCTTATTTAAAGGTGGGCATGAACTACCCAGAACTGAGGTTCAACCGCCTACTGAAGATTGCCCGGCTCTTTGAATTCTTTGACCGCACAGAGACAAGGACCAACTACCCCAATTTTTTCAGGATTGGGAACTTAGTCTTGTACATCCTCATCATCATCCACTGGAATGCCTGCATCTACTTTGCCATCTCCAAGTTCATTGGTTTTGGGACAGACTCCTGGGTCTATCCAAACATCTCAAACCCAGAGTATGGGCGCCTCTCCAGGAAGTACATTTACAGTCTCTACTGGTCCACCTTGACCCTGACCACCATCGGTGAGACTCCACCCCCTGTGAAAGACGAGGAGTATCTCTTTGTGGTCATAGACTTCTTGGTGGGCGTTTTAATTTTTGCCACCATCGTGGGTAACGTGGGCTCCATGATCTCAAACATGAACGCGTCACGGGCAGAGTTCCAGGCCAAGGTCGACTCCATCAAGCAGTACATGCAATTCCGTAAGATTACCAAGGACTTGGAGACGCGAGTCATCCGGTGGTTTGACTACCTGTGGGCCAACAAGAAGACGGTGGATGAGAAGGAGGTGCTCAAGAGCCTCCCAGACAAGCTGAAGGCCGAGATCGCCATCAACGTGCACCTGGACACGCTGAGGAAGGTTCGCATCTTCCAGGACTGCGAGGCGGGGCTGCTGGTGGAGCTGGTGCTGAAGCTGCGGCCCACGGTGTTCAGCCCTGGGGACTACATCTGCAAGAAAGGGGACATTGGGAAGGAGATGTACATCATCAACGAGGGCAAGCTGGCCGTGGTGGCCGACGACGGGGTTACCCAGTTCGTGGTCCTCAGCGACGGCAGCTACTTTGGGGAGATCAGCATCCTGAACATCAAGGGCAGCAAGTCGGGCAACCGCAGGACGGCCAACATCAGGAGCATCGGTTACTCCGACCTGTTCTGCCTCTCGAAGGACGATCTGATGGAGGCCCTCACCGAGTACCCAGATGCCAAGAAGGCCCTGGAGGAGAAGGGACGGCAGATCCTGATGAAGGACAACCTGATCGATGAGGAACTGGCCAGGGCCGGGGCAGATCCTCAGGACCTCGAGGAGAAGGTGGGGCACCTGGAGTCCTCCCTGGACAGCCTGCAGACCAAGTTCGCGCAGCTTCTGGCCGCGTACAACACCTCCCACATGAGGGTGAAGCAGCGGCTCAGCCAGCTGGAGAGCCAGATGAAGATCAATGAGAACGGCTCCCAGGCTGACGGGGAGGCTCCCGGGGACGCTGCAAAACCAGAGGCCAAGAAATGAAAACGGGGGCGTCTGCCTCCTGCTTCACAGGGTCAGCGGTCACGTGGCATGGGCCATGGCCGGGGTTTCATTCCAGCTCTACTCACCCTTTGCAAGCCGTGTGGCTGTGGGAGGAAGCCTTGGTTTCCTTGCCTGGAGAGTGGGACTGATCACGTTGGCCCCAGTGAAGTGCCAGGTTATTGTGAGGTCACGTGGAACACTGCAAGAGGCAGGACTGTGTAAGGTGTGAAGTGTCCCCAGTCCAAGCATATGGAAGTGTGCACACAGGGCGCTGTTTTTTATTTCTTTTTAAGAGAGATTTTTGCTACAGGGCACGTACACTTGCCAGACAGAGAGAGACAGACAGAAAACGAGAAATCACCCCCCCCCCCAGGAGGATGGCCACACCGCAATCCCTTCTCCTCCATTCTCCTCTTGAGATCTTGGACATGCACGCACACATGCCCAGGGTCCGGGACTCGAACCGCAGTCAACTACTTGGGAGTCCAGCCACGTAAGCATTACGCCATCTGCTGGTCCCAGGACTCTTAATTTTTTTTTTTTTTTATGGAGCTCATGAAGAGGCTTTAGGCTTTTTAACCAAATTTTCTTGTAAACAGAAGATTACTTAGCCCTGACCCCTTCTCAACATAATCCCACCCTTATTTGAGTATGGAGGTACAGCAGGAAGCTGAAAGTACAGTGTGGTAACTCAAGTTCAGTCGTACACAGGACAGTTTGGGGGCATATTGCTGAAGCTGGTATCTCCTCATGTGTTCTCTGGGATCCCAGAAACCCTGGCCTTTGGAACTGCCATGGCAAGTGGAAGTCCTATGGGATCAAGAGAAGTCATCGCATTTGAGGTCGGTCTGGGAAACAAATCCCGACTCCCTCCATGCAGCCACTGCGAAACCAGAGCCTGCTTCAGAGGAAAGAGCGTCTCAGTACGGGGAAGAGAGCTGCTCTTCTCACTTGCCAAAGGGATTCGAAGACAGCCTCTATCCCATCCTTGAGTCAGGGCCCTGGGCCAACCTGCTCTGGTTCAAGGAGGTGTATTGGGGAGAGCCTTTTAGGGTCGAGGTTGGGATGCTGTTCTAAGCCAAAAACACTGATAACTGAGACTTCTAGAAGATGAGATTCGTAGGCTGCATCTTTGCAAACTGCCCCCTCACCCCTGAAGAGGACACCTCAAGTCTCCTCAGAGTCGAATCCTGAGGTAAAGCTCTTAGCTGAAAGCTTGTGGATTGCAGAAACTAGCTTTTTTTTTTTATTTCATTAAATAAAATTCTTTAACATTTTATAACAAATTTATATACTTGGGTTCTATGGTTGCAAATAATGACCTGAACATCTTATCCTTCACTTAATACATGTGCAAAGTATACAAAGAGGAGTCTTCTGTCTTTCCTTCTTCCCTCTCCTCCCCTTCACTCCCTCCCCTCCCTCCCTCTCTTCCTTTCTTCCTCCCTCCTCTTTCCTCTTCCTTCCTTCTGCCTCCTCTTCCTCTTCCTTTCTTCTGACCAGACAAAATGCCCACTCTGCTTTGACAACTCTGAAGTCTCTGTGGTCCGATGGTATAATCCACATGTTATGTAATTGGTCTCTGATGTAGTTCACACAAAAGATGCTGGATTTTCAAGTATGTATTTTGGATTTATTTGGGTCTCTTCTTATTTGTATTGTAGATTATTTAACCATTTAAAATTTTTAAAATGGATTAAAAAGTCTGTGAAAGGTCATAGATCCAATCTCATATCATCAGCAAAATGTAACTAGCAATATTTTCTCAAAATGCATCTATTTAAAAAGCCTTAACTGTTAATTATGCCTGCATTCATATTTGGAAAAATAAAGACCTGAATTGAAAAACATGAATGACTTCTGCTTCACCTTTTGTCATAAGGGGATTCCAGTTGCACAGTACAGAACTACTTTCTAGGTCAGCAGCTTCCCTAGAAAGAGCAGGTGCTGGGGCTAGTGGGTGGCATGGTAGTTAAGGTGCTGGACACTCCCACATAGCTGACCACAGTTTGAGTCCCGGACCTGGTGGCTTGCTTCCTCACTTTCCCTCTCTTTTTCTCTGTGTCTCTCTCTGGTCAGATTAAAAAAAAAGAAGAAGAATGAATGAATAAATAAAATTAATTATTTACAAATAAATAAATAAATAAGAAAGAGCAGGTGCTAGTGGCCAGGCAATGGCACTCAGAGTAAGAGCTTCTGCACAGCTAGCAGCAGGTGAGAATGCGCGTGTGTGTTCCCAGAGACACGTACAAATGTTAATGCAGGTTTATTTTCTTTTTAAAAAAAAATTATTGTGTGGGTCAGTAGGGGGTGTAGTGGTTAGGGTGCTGGATTCCCACATAGTTGACTGTAGTTTGAGTCTTGGACTCAGTGGCTTGAAACTAACACCAGGCACATGCCAGTGAGTGCCCAAGATCCCAAGAGGAGAATGGAAGAGAAGGGATTGCAGCATGGCCAGCCCGCCTTTGGTGGGGATGGGGAGGGACGGTCTTGCTTTCTGCCTCTGTCTCTATGGCAAGTGCACACACTCTAGCAAAAATGTGTCTGTCTGTCTGTCTCTATAGATATGCAGACATTGGGTATGAGTGTTTATCAGAGAGAGACAGAAGCAGAGAGAGAGGGAAAATGAAAAAGCACAGTGGCCACACCGTAATCTCTTTCATTCTCTTCTCAGGAGTTTGGGCACACACATACGCGTGTCCAGCATGTTTTTCAAGCTGCCAGATTGGGGACTTGAACAGCACAGCCAGCCATGTGAGATACAACCACCTTAACCACCATGCCAGCAGCTGATCTTCAGGCTTGTTTGTTTTTGCCATAGGGTGTGTGTGCTCACCACAGAGAAGAGACAGTGAGTGGGGCAGTGAGAAACCCCCCCAGCAGTATGGCCACGCCACAGTCCCTTTTGGTCCATTTTCCTCCTGGGATTCTGGGCACACACATGGGTTCCCAGCGTGATTTTCAAGCTACCAGGTCTGAGACTCAAACCGTGGTCAACTACATGGGACTCCAGCACCTTAACCACCATGCCACCTGCTGGCCCCTGCAGGCTTGTTTTTAATAGTAAAAGGAAAGAACCGAAATATCAGAAGTTAAGGGCAAATGGGACCAGCAGTTGGCATAATGGCTATGTCACTGGACTCCCACGTAGTAAACTGTGGTTCGAGGCCGGGACCGGCTGGCTTAAACTCATGCCGGGCACGTGTTCATGCGTGCCCAAGATCCTGAGAGGAGAATGGAGGAGAAGGGATTGCAGCATGGCTGTCCTCCCTGGGGGAAGTGCTTTCTCACTTTCTGTCTCTGTCTTTCTGGTGAGTGCATGTGCCCAATAGCAAAAACGTCTCAAAAAAAAAAAAAAAAAAGGGAAAAAAAAAAAGGGAACCAGCAGTTAGCGTAATGGCTATGTCGCTGGACTCCCACGTAGTCAACTGCGGTTCGCGTCCCGGACCCGGTGGCTTAAAACTCACGCAGGGCGCGTGTGTATGCGTGCCCAAGATCCCGAGAGGAGAATGGAGGAGAAGGGATTGCGGCGTGACCATCCCCCCTGGGGGGTGATTTCTCGCTTTCTGTCTCTATGTCTCTCTCTGTCTGTCTGGCGAGTGCAGGCGCCCTATGGCGAAAAACCTCTCCCCCCACAAAAAAAAAGAAGTTAAGGACAAGTCAGGAAAAATATAAAACATGCTAGATATCTTGCCAAAGATAATAAGGGATTAGATTGTGTGAACGTCAGAGGGCTGAAACAGCAAAGGAACATGGAGGTTGTTCAGAAAGAGTGACCGCAGGAAGCCACTGCACACCGCTAGAGCTGGGGGGGACCAAGGGCAAGAGGTGCTCAGAGGCGTGGCCCCAAGAGCTGGAACCCAGACCTGTGACTGGAAGTTGAGGGACTCGGAGAAGTCTGGCAGGCCCAGGAACTTGAGCAATATCTGCACAGAGGGATTGCACGGTGAGACGGGTCCTGGGAGTGCCAAGGGCAGGCCGCATCAATCTGCCCTTACCAGGAAAACCTGCTGCGGCTCTAGCTCCACAACCAGAACACTGGGCAAGCAGAAAAAGAAAGCCCTTTATCCCTCCCTCTTCCTCCTAGCAGAAAGTTCCAGAAAAGTGAGGACAGTTAGAAGGACTTTGGACTTGCCTGACAGAATGTCTGTCTCAGACCGGAGGCCCTGCCTTGCATGCCCCTGGAATAGGCAGTGAAGGCACATGACCTAGATAAACGACCCTCTCTCCAGTGACTGGCACCTGACAGGCCACCGTCAAAGCTTCTTTCCTTTGTCCTGAAGATTTCTCATTGTGAGGATACAGAAATCCTGAGAAAAGGCAGGCTAGGGAGAAGGAAAATATTTATTAGGCACCTCCTATATGCCAGGAACCACTCTCCCTGCAGGAGTGTGCATTTCCTCATCACACCTATTGAGAGAAACTTTTAATTTTCTTTAAGCATTTGTTCTTTTAATATAATTAATCTCATTTATTAATTGATTTTTTAAAGTATACCCACTCCATGCAAAGTAAAGAGTTTATGAATTGCTTTCCCAAAATATATATCTATTAGGGCTCCATAGAGACAGCGCCGGGGCAAGTGAGAGCCGGACGGGCACTGGGCGACTCTGTGCCTCGCGGAGGAAAGATAACTAAACATGGGCAAAGCAGATCCTAAGAAGCCAAAAGGCAAAATGTCGTCATATGCATTCTTTGTGCAAACTTGCCGGGAGGAGCGCAAGAAGCAGCACCCAGATGCTTCAGTCAACTTCTCAGAGTTTTCTAAGAAGGGCTCAGAGAGGTGGAAGACCATGTCTGCTAAAGAGAAAAGAAAGTTTGAAGATATGGCAAAGGCGGATAAGGCCCGTTATGAAAGAGAAATGAAAACTACGTCCCTCCTAAAGGGGAAACGAAAAAGAAGTTCAAGGATCCCAATGCACCCAAGAGGCCTCCTTCGGCCTTTTTCTTGTTCTGTTCTGAATATCGCCCAAAAATCAAAGGAGAACATCCTGGCCTATCCAT